CCAAATTCCACTCCTTGATTTTTGCTTTCAAAAATTGAAGTTTCTTATGGGATTTCATCCCCTCCCATTCCACCAATGGGTTACACTCAAACCACCACTCCCTCACTTTGTTGTTAAAACCTGGGTGGAGTAATCACATAATTTCAAATCTAAAGGGGGTAGGACCTCCACGCCTTCTTTCCTCCTTACATAACACTATGGGCCAATGATCGGAGGTCACCCTTGGAAGAGCTCTAGAAGCCAARGTTCCCCAATGRACTTCCCAATCCAGAGAGAACAGGAATCTATCAAATTTAGAGCAAATGGGTCTAGATTGGAGATTTGACCAAGTAAATGTCATATGAGCTAGTAAATGTCATATGAGCTAGGGGGATCTCTTTAAGCTTAAAGTCATCCACAAAGTTGTTAAACTTCCTCATGCTTTTTGTCACCCTCTGGTTAAACTTATTGGATTCCTCCGAGAATCTAATACTACTTGCCTTCCTAAGCTATGCTTTTAATCCAATTATTGTATTAGTTCTATTTTTAGCTCCTATTCCTCAGGTAATCCAATTAATCTCTCATTTCCCAAGCATTTCTAGAATCAGGTTGAGAACAGAGTTTACAGTTGAACATCATGCCCATGAAAAAATAGAAGAATCTATTGAGAATGACTTTCAGTGGTCTGCCAGGCAATATCTTTTTTTTTTCTTTTTTGATAAGTAAAAAAGAAAACTTCAATAAAAAAAAAGAAAAACAATTACAACCTAGAAGAAATTGTTAGTTTACAGGATCATGTGCTAAATTTGGTTTTGACACAAGAAATTCTGTGGATGGTACAAGGATGTAGGAGATGACTTGGCCACTTGCAAAGCCAATACTAGCTGTTACCTGACTCGAAAAAGGATCTATTTATGGCATATCTTAATGTTGGGATCACATCCCACCAAAGAATATAGGCAATTTATTTTTCCAAACCCCACTTTTCTTATTTCTTGTGTTGCATAATTGGCAAAGGATTTTCAATGGATTTACATCTATGGCCATCAAATTCCGCTTTTTTTATGCATGTGTGTTCTGTCCATAAAAGGTTGGACACTGATTGCTTTCTGACAGTTCCTGATGCAAACTCATTTCCAACCATGTTGCACTTGCACCTTTCTTCTGTATATTGTAATACTTTTTACCTGCCTAGGGGCAATAATTTGACAATAGTTGGATCTTTGTGTCTTCTTTTTTTATTTAATCCCTGAACTAGTTACATGAAAAGAACGAGAATAATGAGTTAACAACAATAATAGAGAGCCTGTAGTCTCATATTTGGGCCCAGAGATTTCTAGAATATACATCACAGACTCACAGTTGGTTGTGGTGGTCACCTGTCAAAGATGATGTATGATTAATGTGAAACGTTCTTTTCATTGTTTCTTGTTATCGACCCTTGTTCTTTCATGAGAGTTCATGTAGCTGCTGCATATGGCATTTCTACCTCAAGGGAATAAGGACCCCTTGTTTATTGGTTTTGGTGGTTTCATGATGTGATAATCCTACTTGTTTATTTGCAAATGCTTGTCAATAGCCAAATTCCATTCTAAATGCAAATCTCCAATCTCCATTTATCGTTCTCCTTAAATACTTGATAAGCTTTTGAATCTTATGATCTCTCTGCACCTCTTTGTACAGATTCCTACATGACAAGGTGAAGCCACATGTGGTGCACCGGGATATTCATGCTAGCAATGTACTACTTGATGAAGAGTTCAGAGCACATCTGATGGGGGTAGGTCTATCAAAATTTGTCCCATGGGAAGTGATGCATGAAAGGACAGTGATGGCAGGCACATATGGGTACCTGGCTCCAGAATTTGTCTACAGAAATGAGCTCACTACAAAAAGTGATGTTTATAGCTTTGGAGTGTTGTTGCTTGAACTTGCTAGTGGGCGTAGACCTGCCCAGGCAGTGGATTCAGTGGGTTGGCAGACTATATTTGAGTGGGCCACACCTCTAGTGCAGTCACACAGGTACATAGAGCTGCTGGATCCAGTTATCTCTGATATCCCTGAAGTTGGAGTCATACAAAAGGTTGTGGACCTTGTATATGCTTGCACACAACATGTCCCATCAATGCGGCCAAGGATGTCGCATGTTGTTCATCAATTGCAACAATTGGGATTGAAAACCAGTTCTGAGAAGGCAAGAAGTGGTACAAGCACAAGTACTGCCTCTCGACTTGCTCCATTTGAAATGGAGGTCAACAATGTGTAAGAGGAAAATACCTATATTTACCTTCAATTCAGCAATTCATTCCAATATTTACTGACCCGAACTATTTAATAGGATTTAAATAACCCACGAGTAGTTCATCATTCTGGAGCATGTGCTTTGCTCTCTCTCTCTCTCTCTCTGTTAATTCATTAAGATTTTACATTGAGGAGCATAAAAAAAAAAACAGAAAAAATGTGAAGCCCAAGGATTCTTTCTGGCTAAAATTCATTCTGAAATAGGTTGATAAAATGATGGCACAATCTATAACTTGTCATGTCTATTTCATTCAATTGATGCATGCCCTAAAATGAAACCAAAGAAATGGGGAAGCAATAAAGGAGGTAGTTGTGGATAAATTTGATGTTTATTTATGTCTAACAAATATTCTCATGAATGGGTCTGAGAAGTTGATTCAGATCATACAATTATGATCCACAGTATGCTATTGTGGATGCAATTGGTTCAGCAGTCGATCATGAAGCAGATATGATCTTAGGTGTTATATAACAGCAGCAGAAACTCATCTGCGAGGTTGCAAACTCAGGCTGTAGTGTGTTCACCTTTTTTTTTTTTTATCAGGACAATTAATGGTAAATTGAACAAATTGGTTTGACACCAAACAACCATTTCTGATATATACCAATTTTTAGTTTCCCTTTGCTAGTAATCTTTCGAATTATTTTAGGTAGTGAGTTTTTAGTTTATTAGAATTACCGTGATCAGAACTTTGGGTCTTTTAGATCTCTCTTCCCTTGAAGAGAGATCAATTATAGATGCTATATTACATGAAGAGTACAGAACAATTGAAAATTTGAAGCGAAATAGGAAAAGAAAACGATGACAAAGTCCAACCAAAATTTGGACTAAACTCGTTTGCACTTCCATAATGAAATTGCACTACAAACAACTGAACAAGCACGCTTTTACTGCTGATAATCCTACCTTGTATGGCCACGCTAGTTGCAGGTGACTCGAGTCTGGACCATTCCACACCAGCAACTGGTTTCGGACAGAGCCAGAGATTGCACAGTGATTATAAATTATCATCTTTGCAGAGCATAGAGGGATGTTAAGAAGAGACCATCTCCATCTCTGCCTTTTTGATCTTCCAACCACGCTTGGTTGGCCCAACATGTCACAAGGCCATCACTGAGACCGATAAGAACTGCTGGTCCAGAATATTCCCCTCCCCTCATTTTGAAAGATGTGATTATCACATGGGGTGAATTTTCTGTTTAAAATTTTTCTAAGGGAATACAAATTACAATGTCCAACACATTTGCCAAACAACTCTTGTCTGTGTTGTCTAATACAAGTTTAACCAGGACCAACTAAAATAACCGCGCTAGTCAAAATTAACGTTGATGCATGAAGCGGCGATAGCAACCTCCATTCTAGTTGAAGGCCATGAAATAGTTAAACGAATGAGTTCCAGGGGGCAGGGGAAATATTCATGGACCTCTCAAAATTAACGTTGATCCTACTAATTTGTCTTGTCTATGAGTAATTCTTTATGTTTTAGTAAACTTGTTCTTGTAGGAGCTATTGGATTTTTTTTTTTTGAAGGCATGAGCTATTGGATATAAGCAAATACAAATTTGTCATTATTTCATTAAAGCAAGAATAACAATATACAAGGAATGAACAAGTTATTGATCAATGACCTCTAAGATTCAACACTTGCATTACAAGAATATATAAAGATGAAAGATAAACAGCACATTGCTTAATCCTGAAGCACGTCTTCACTAAAAATGCCAGGACAGCTAAAAAGATATCCTGTCTTAATTAAATCCTGATGGTTGTATTGTATGTGAAAGCTTTATTCAAGTTTGACCTCTTACCTCTTAGGACTCATTCGATTTTCAGTAAGTCACTTACCTAGGTAAATGCAGTTACCTGGGTAAGTTTTTTCTGGGAAACACTAATCCGGGTAAGTGCATTTATCCATGTTCTTTTATTTCTCATGTAAATAAGGCAATGACCATTTTAGCCATAAAAATTCATTATTATAAAGGACATTTTTGTCCCATTCAAGTGTTGGCAACTTTCCCCCTAGGTGAGAAAGTTATTTACCCACCTAGGAGATGGGTACGTAAAATAAACTTTTCTTGGTTCCCACATAAATCTAAAAAAAAAAATATGGGATTCTTGGTCAATGGGAACCAAAATCCCATTGACCAACTTTCCCCCCTCTCAAAATCTGAAAAAAGAATGCCTGGAGTATCGAGCTGCAAATAATAAAATGGATCTGTTGGTTCCTCCTTGCAGAAAAATTAAGTTGTATTCTGCAAAATTTTTCAAGGGTATGTATTTCAAGCATATTTACCACTATTATTAACTCAGTTTAAATAAATCAGTTCATATATATATATAGGATAAATAACTTTCCTCGATAAAAGAAAAGAAAGCATTCATATAAATTCTAGTTTAAAGTTTATTTTTCAAATTACTAGTCTAAAAATCTACCATAATACCCTGGTTTAAAACACATGCATTGCCAAAAGAGCTTGAAAAGGCCTGGAACTGTTTTAAATGGGTTTCCATCAAAGCATTCCTAAACAGTTTTAAACAAATTCAAAGTGTTAGCATATAAATTTTAGTTTAATGACATTGCATCACTAGTTGACACTGTCCACATGGCTCTACTTGGAATTCATAATTATCTAATAAAGTGCTTGCTTAGATTTGACAGCCAAACCAGGGATAAAAAGGGGTGAATTGTAAATTGAAATCTTTTGCGGGGTCAGTCTCCTCTTTTCTAGGGACTGAATCTTAATCTAATTTAATAAAGTGCTTAAATCCTGTACATTACCTAGATTACATCCTCTGCTCGATCATCATACCTGTGTGCTTGAGGTTGTCGATTATCTCCCTCTGGCAACCCCCATGGGCTCTCTCTCCTTGGTACTGGTCTTGAACTCATCCTAATATCCTCAACTCTTCCTACATTAAGATAAGAAACACAAGAATGTAAAAGGCCCATTAAGGATCTGTGTATACAAGGACTCCAGGCCTGCTGCACATAAAACACATTTTACATGTATCAAAGTTAATAGTCATAGAAGATATCAACATTGTCCATTAGCATTACAAGGGTTGGCGAACCATCTAACTGATCTAGATTGTTGAACCGATAATAGGTCAGAAGTACACATGTTGATTTGCTGTAAACATTTTCATGGAATTGTCATATAAAGCAAGACTGCATCAATCAACAGGCTCATTGTGGCCAGGGAGGGCAATGATGCTGGACCCACTTCACTTGTATGGCATGAAATGGATGGAGCAATTTATATGCAAGCTCCAATCTATCTCATCCCAGTTTTCTTTTTTTTTTTGCTTTCCTCTCTTTTCCCTTTTTGGGAAGAATCATGAAATGCACTGATTTCAAATTAATTTTAAGATGCACACACTGTTCATCAACCATAAGAATTATAACTAGAATTGAATGATCAACAAAATTCCAGTGACTTTGTAACTAGAATTATATTGTTCCAAAAAAAACCCTGCAAAAAGAGATTAAAAATAATGGAAAATATAAATAATTTATTGGCTAATAAACCAGTCAAACTGGAAGAAAACTAAAAAGATCATACCATCAATTACCAATTATATTTAATAAATATCAAGTAACCTTCAACAAACGTGATGAAAAATTTCCCTCCTTTATCCTTTTTCATTGGCACCTTTTTAATCCTTATTTGTAAGCCTAGGGATCTATCCTGTATTAGGATATCAGTGGAAGCTACTAGGTAGGCAGAAAGAAAAAAGCAAGGTTTTTAAAATTGAATTGGACAGCGAATCGGTCAAGTCCAGTTCCTGGGTCAAACGGTACGATTGTTTGAATCGAATGGATGGCTCGTTTTGACAAAAAAAAACGATCAAATCATTGAATGATTTGAATGCCTAGGTCACGGTTTTTGGGAAAATAACGGTTCTGGAATAAAACGGGTTCCCAGTTTTTCTGGTCCGATCCGATTTTAAAAACCATGGAAAAAAGTGATAAATCCCAAATTCCCACCATTAACTTCTTCCTTCCTTGCCCATCCAAACACCAAAAATGGGGCGAAACACCATTAATGTATTGAGTTCTTGACTGTGCATGAGCCAAGAAGTCCTTCATCAGTGTGTAAATAACCGATTAATTCAATTTTAATTGAAATTTACAAATTACAATGTTCAATTGAGTACCGTAACAAAGCATTTCTATAAGCAGACTTCAGTATTCACCAGTTTGCTTTTACCGTTTTACCTAGTCTTAGTGTCTGTTTGGCATTGTTGCCCTTGCTCCAGAAAACAGTGACACATCAGCGTTATATTGGAAAAAACAGCACTCCAGGAAATGAGTATTTGTTTGAAATCATTTTTCCATAAAAAATGGTGTTTCAAGCCATGCCTCAAAAATCGGGAAGGCATGGCTTGGAGCAACGTCAAATTTGGCGTTTTCTAGAGCTGCAGCTCATTGCTGCGGACAGGGATGTGAGGTGACAGTAATGTGGCACTAGATAATGGATACCAATACTGAAAACGTTTCATGAAGCATTGGTACCGAACAGAAAATGTTATTGTTACTTCAAGAAATGCCCTATCCGGCAATAACGATTCCAAACAAAAAAATACACCATTTTCTCAAAAAACGTGCTGCATCTACAGTATCGAGGCCAAACATATATTTTAATTTAGTGAGATTAATCCCATTAAGTAAAAATGTGAAATTTAAATCATGCTCTAATCTTGATTTCAGTCGACAGAAAAAAACCGTTTCAAAGAAATAAGCAACAGCAGTTGCATTGAGGCTTTAGCAAAAGATATCAATTACTTAATGTGACCCCAACAAGAAAAGATAACTGTCAGTACAACAATCCAAAAAACAAAAGAAATCAAATCCAGATGTTTTGTTTTGGTAGGAGAATTTTTTTTCCAGTGTGAATAAGAGAAAATCAGGGAAATTTTCTTTTTTATTCATAAACAGAAAGGAAAAGATGAGGGTGGACTCTATAGACTGGGTATTCGATTCTCTTTATAGATTTGAGATTACCTGACTCCTTCGATTTATTGGATGATTGATTTCCTATGCCCTGAAGGAGACCGGATCTGCTCCTCACACC